GTTTTATGAAGAACCAAATTTTCCTTTTGAGCTTAGTGGTCAGTGTTCCTAAGTGGGGATCGGACCGTCTAAGATTCTCGCGGTGATGCTGCTGAGCACGCACTAAACTTTAATTTGTTATGGTGTTATAAGAGTAACTGTAAATCCAGTTATTCGTTGTGGCGGCGGGTGTTGCTGACTGGCCACTCTACATCTGGCCAGTAGTTCAAAATTAGGGACGTCTATATCTCTGACCTAGTCGTTTAACCCACATGTCACGAGAGGTGCCATTCAAAATTAAAATACAAATTTAAGTCCCTTATTCCCTTACGATAAGTCGAGGACGAAATATCAAATGTGAAATCAACGATTCTTATACACCGTTCTACGTTTTTAAAAGTTGTCTAATGATCGTCATTTTTATTACAATAATAAATAACCAACGAGTCCTACAGAGGTCACTAACAACACGTCACAGAGGATAAAGAAGAGATACTATTTCAAGTTTGGTCAGTGTGAATAACTTGGTACTATCACCTAAGATGGTTGGTCGTACTGTAATAGGGGTGGATTAATTTTTTTTTTAAGTTTTATGACAAGATAATTGAAAAGATTTAGATTCTAGTAATACTTCTTCTGAGAACATTCAGGTGAACAGCAAGAAAAAATCACAGGTCTAATGTCTAAGATACTGGGGGACTGGTGTTAAGTTTTGATTCTGATATTTGAGCAAAGCTACGCATTGTCTATCTGCTCTATCTGCCGTCCCTTATTTTGAACTGATAGACAAGAGGAAATACGGCGTGTCAACAGCGTTCACCGCTACCCTAATCAAATAGTGAGATTTCACCCTCACTCTTATAACGCGTTCAGGGCTCCAAAGTTCGGAGCGCGATTTGTTTTTCGAGAACGGGACGCGAATCAAAGACTCGTATCAAACAGTTTGTCACATTAACCCCTAAGTCACGCCTAGTTCTCATTAATAATACTGTAAATGAAATTTATCCATCTATAACACGTATCAAGATCAAAATTTTCTGTCTTCTATGACCCCCCCCCCCAGTGGCACAGCAGTATGTCTGCGGACTTACAACCCTAGAAACCGGGTTTCGATACCCGTGGTGAGCAGAGCACATATAGCCCATTGTGTAGCTTTGTGCATAACTTCAAACAAACAATCTTCCACTCTTGTCTTGTCAGATCTAGATTTTTGTTATGTACGATTTCCTGTTTTTATACTATTATAAAATGTTTTGTTTCTGTTGCATGGTACTTTTGAACAACAAACTGGAAGAATATTCACATTTTACGACATCTATTCTGTAGACATGTCGATAACATTAGACACCACAATTCCTCTAAAAATATTAAACTTCATTTACTCCATGTATACATTTATTTCGGGATTAGCAAAAAAAAAGTCGATAAAAAAAACCCGTCATCTCTCGATATTAATTCTTTTAGTAAGGTGTATAGTGTTTCTAATTCTCATTGATTGAAGTTTTTCTTCCGTAACACATTTTCTGAAGTACGTTACTCCGAGCTTAATCCAAGACTTCAAGTTGAATTTCTTTTTCTGTGATTCCATTTTCAAGATACAACAGGAAGTTCTAAAAAAAAAGAATAATGGCATTAAAGCACTCGAATTGAATAAAAGAAGCCTGTTCTTATTATGTTATTGTTGTCGAATTGAATAAACGAAACCCGTTTTTATCAAGTTATTGTTGTCGAATTGAATAAACGAAACCCGTTCTTATCAAGTTATTGTTGTCGAATTGAATAAACGAAACCCGTTCTTATCAAGTTATTGTTGTCGAATTGAATAAACGAAACCCGTTCGTATCAAGTTATTGTTGTCGAATTGAATAAACGAAACCCGTTCGTATCAAGTTATTGTTGTACTACATCATTTTACTTTAAAAAGTAAAATATATTAATGTTTAGACTAAAATATTTCGAATTGTTACTTCTTTAAACGTGTGACGTTCAACAACAGCGGTTCTCAAAGTTTTGTTACCCCAGAACCCCCTTTTAATTTTTTTTTCTCAGCCCCTCCCTCCCAAACCTATCGATGTTCTTTTGTTTTGAAGGAAAAATTTTATGTAAATAAAAAATCTGTAATCAAAAAGTAAATGTTTTAATTCATATAAATCTAATTTTAGAAAATATGTTTATTCTATAAATCATATATGTTTAAAGTATTATTCTGAAACTTCGGTTTTGTTTGTTATGAATTTACAACTGGTAATACCTTTTCTGAAACCTATGAAGTTCTAATTTTTTATTCAGTTTTCAGATTTATTATTTGCTTGTTTTCATTCGTTGTGTAATATAATTACAACGGCTTGTTCCAAGATATGGTAATTACCTAGATTTTAATGATAAGTGGTAGAGGGCTGGCAGTTATTTGTTTTTTAAGGCAAAGTTACACAATAGGCTATCTACGCCTTCTCCACCACAAGGAAACGTTTGTTTGTTTGTTTTGAATTTCGCGCATAGCTACACGAGGTATATCTGCGCTAACCGTCCCTAATTTAGCAGTGTAAGACTAGATGGAAGGCAGCTAGTCATCACCACCCACTGCCAACTCTTGGGCTACTCTTTTACCAACGAATAGTGAGACTGACTGTTACATTATAACGTCCCCACAGCTGAAAGGGCGAGCGTGTTTGGTGGGACGGGGATTCGAACCCATGAAACTTCGGAAATGACTTGCGAACCCCAGTTTGAGAAACGCTATTCTAAAACATAAAATGTAAGTTTTCTTAATTATTAAATTTTTAGACACTTTTTATCAATTTTTTTAAAGTGTTTGTTACATTTTGTTATAAAGCAAAGCCACATTGGTCTATTTTCTTTGTTCTCCGCGGGAAATCGTACCTCGCATTTTAGCGTTGTAAGTTCGTAAACTTACTGCTGTCTCATCAGGGGACTTCTTTTTTTCAGGAAATCCTATACTCATTTACGCTGTGTGTGAGTTTGTTTGTTCGTGAACTATTCCCATAATGTTGGAGCTAACAGGACCAAACTTGTTAGACGGACTCTGAGTGGCCCGATGGTGTCCTTTTCTATATTATGTAGTCCCCAACCTAGGGGGCTTAAACAAAGAGACAAAAATCTTATGTAAAATTCTTCCAGGTAACATCTCGGAAGAACCAATCAATCATAAACCGTGAAAAATTTGACATTAATTGGGTCTTGCTATATGAACTTTTATGGGTCTTGCTATATGAACTTTTATTATTACTTTGATTAAAGGCCGGGTGTGGACAAGCAGTTAGTGTGTCTAGACTGGTTCAGAGGTCCATTTTTCGTATCCCTTTTCCACAAAAATTCGCTCCATACTTTCGGACCGTAGGTGCGCTGACGGTTAAATCTCACTATATACGGTCAGAAGAGAGTACCCCCAAGAGGTGGCAGTAGGTCCTGTTGTCTGGCTTCCTTCATTCTATCCTGTCAACTCAAAATTATGGGCGACTAATATTTGTGAAGATTGCCCTTGTTTTGCTGGGCGGAGAAAATTCTAAGATAAAAACAACAACAACAAAAAAAACGTACTTTGAATAAATAATGAATCTTTATAAAGTAACTTATTGTGATTCGTGAAATGTTTTGACATTCTTCTAGTAAGGAATCCAAAAACTGAAACAATAAATGTCAAAGTTGACTCTTATTATTATTATTATTATTATTATTATTATAAGTAAAATGAGTTTGCGCCATTTTTCTAAAATATGTTCTCATTTTGTGTGGCATTGATGCTTAACACGCTAAGCTGGTTAAGAACGAGGCCTTAATCTATACTTCAATGGTCACCCCAGGAAGTATTGGAAATGATGATAGACCAGGCAGAAATTACATCGATTTTTTTGTTGTTGTTTCATAAGACCACATAGCTCGTATAATTATCTAGAATATAAAAGAAAGCCACATCGAAATATGAGTCTCTTCAGATTGTAAAATCTTAATCAAGAAAAGTAACGTTTTAAATTAAGTGTGAGCAAGTATGCAAATTCTCACTCACCGGTAGGCGCAATAATGATAGAAACTTCAGGTTTATTTTACGCACAGACCAATTTGTAGTAAATAACAAGATATATATGGAGATGTACCTAAGAAATGTGTTGAAAAAAGGCAATCCTTTTATTTCATTTTAAACGCGAACGAAAAGGGGTATAGGACAGTATGAGCCCACATGTTAACTTGAAAGTATTTTACACGCAATGGGGTTGACTATCTGTGCTTTGAGGACTTGAGTTGTGTAAATATATCAAGTGGAGCTCAGTTTCACAGCCCCTATGAAGCCGGGGCTTCGGGGGCCGCTAGCGTATTTTATTTCGATTGCTTCCCAGTGGCACAGTGCTAGAAACCGGGTTTCCATTCCCCCTGACGGGCAGAGCACAGGTAGCCCTTTGTGTAGCTTTGTGCTTGATAAAAAAAACAAAAAAAACAACAACTTACTTCGATTATTTGATGACGTCACAATGTATGTTGACACAAAAAGTAACTACAAATGTAAGAGAATAACATGTTGCAAAGTAAGCCTTCATAAACGACATGAATCGGTAAGATTGTGATAATTACTCTTTAAATTTACATATGTCCATGGACATTTTTTAACAGGAGCGTTTTCATAAACACTTCTAACAACAGGAGCGTTCTCACAACAATTTCTTATAACAGCAATGGCACTCCGGTTTGCTCCAACTCAACTCAAGTCCTGTGTGCTGTGCTAACCACGGGTATCGAAATTGGATTTTTAGCGTTACAAACCATCAGACTTATCGCTGAGCCACTGGGAAGGAAGGGGAGGGCAGGAGAACGTAAATTTAAGAGAAATTATCAAACTTAATTTATTGTGTTTCATCTTATTATAGCTATCTATAAATGTGCGTATTTACAATTCTTAAAACTGTGTGCTGTGAAAACTCGGTTGTGATTAAAACTACATAGCTGTCGAGTCATAACAACAAATTTGCTTCTAAACCTTTTTCTAATAGTTTCCTTATATGTAATTTAAACATAAGTATAGCTAGTTTTAAATGTAATTTATTTTTATTATTGTATATTTCCTAGCAGTACTTTTAGTGGTGGAGGAGTTAGTTTGACGGTCAATCCCACTATTCGTTGGTAAAGAGTAGCACAATAGTTGTCGGTGGGTAGTGTTGACTAGTTACCTCAAAATTAGGGATGACTAGCGCAGATAGGCCTCGTGTAGTTTGTGTTAAGGCCTGGAATGACCAGGTGGTTAGGGCGCTCGACTTGCAATCTGAGGGTCGCAGGTTCAAATCCAATGTCCCACCAAATATGCTCGCCCCTTTCAGCCGTGGGGGCATTATAATGTTACGGTCAATCCCACTATTTGTTGGCAAAAGAATAGCCCACTAGTTGGCGGTGGGTGGTGATGACTAGCTTCCTTCCCTCTAGTCTATCACTTCTAAATTAGGAACAGCTAGCGCAGATAGTCTTCGTGTAGCTTTGCGCGAAATTAAAAACAAACAAACAAGCTTTTAATGGTCTCTAAGCATTGGTATGATTACCACTTGCTTTAATACAGATATGAATTATGAAGACCATATAGTGACAGTTGGACAAGAATTATGAATAGATAATCGTAATTATAGCAGACATGAACTGAACAGTAATAGTAAACAATACCACTGCCAGCTACCGAAAAGGACTAACACTAAACAACAGGTACAGATGTAGAAAACACTGGTAGACCCAACAGGATAATGGTACACTAAACAACAGGTACAGATGTAGACCCAACAGGATAATGGTACGCTAAACAACAGGAACAGATGTAGACCCAACAGGATAATGGTACGCTAAACAACAGGAACAGATGTAGACCCAACAGGATAATGGTACGCTAAACAACAGGAACAGATGTAGACCCAACAGGATAATGGTACGCTAAACAACAGATGTAGACCCAACAGGATAATGGTACGCTAAACAACAGATGTAGACCCAACAGGATAATGGTACGCTAAACAACAGATGTAGACCCAACAGGATAATGGTACGCTAAACAACAGATGTAGACCCAACAGGATAATGGTACGCTAAACAACAGGTACAGATGTAGAAAACACTAGCAGACACATCAGGATAATGGTTTGCACCGTTCTTGTTTTCTAATCTACAGAGATGTCGCATGGACAGGGACATCTTTAGATGGTTGACATATACAAGATAAATAAAAAAAATTGGGAATTTAAAAATCTGTAAATAGGGATCGTAAAAAAGTCAGGAAACAAGGCTGGAGATACTGTAGATATTATTTACTCAAATTATAAACTCCTATTTTACTCCACTGAATGTAATTCTAGGTAACAGCATGTAACCAAAAT